TTTGAAGGAAGTGAGGGATTCTCTGAGGTGGGGGGGGAATTCCAGGGATGGAGGTTAGCTAGTACAAAAATAAAGATGGGAGATGGAGTACCACGTATGGAAAACAGGGGCCCAGTTTGACTGGACTGCATTATACGGGAGGAGAACAAGGTACAAAGAGTCTGGAAGGATAGGTTGGGTCCAGGTTGTAAAAGCTTTAAAAGCCAAACAAAAGGCTTTCTATTTGATCCTGGAGGCATTAGGGAGCCGCCATAATTTGTTGAATAAGGGAGTGACTCGGTCAGATCTGCACTACAAAAATGACTTTGATATTTTATTATTGTTACTATTATTATTTCCAGAAAAAGAAGATCAAAATTCTCTTCTCATACTATGCATTAGTCAGACTACATCTGGAGCTTGTCTTCAGTCCTGAACACAATTTAAAAGGGGCACTGACAAACTGGATTGTATCAAGAGGAGGGCAAATGGGGATTGTAAGGGACCTTGAAACCATGTCATAGGAGGAACAGCTGAAGGAGCTAAGAAGGCTTATCCTATAGAAGAAACAATTTAGTGGAAGATATACTACTTATCTTCAAATATTTGACATGTAGAAGAGAGTGCCAGTTAGTCTCTGTGGGATTTCAGGAAACATGGCTAGGACCAGTGGGTAGAAGCAAACTTCAGCCTAATACTGGAACTTCATATAATTTTAATGGTCTGCCTTGTGAAGTACTAATTTCCCTGTCACTAAAAGTGTTCAAGGAGAGGCCAGATGATTATTTGTTAAGGATACTCTACAGAGGATTCTTGCATGTGTTAAAAGGTTAGATTTATGATTATTATCATTTAAAAGTTTACCAAGTGCTTTACATACATTATGTCACTTGAGCTTTCCTATGAATTAGGTGCTAGAGGTATTAATATAATTCCCACTTTACAAATAAAGAACCTAAGGAAGTTGCTGTCCAAAGCCCCATAGCTAACAAGACTCAAAGGTGAAATGTGAACTTGCCAGCCCATACCTCTGTCTACTCTGCCATGTATCCACTCAAATAACCTGGAAATATCCATCCCCTTGACTCGATGGCTTCTTGGACTCCAACGAGTCCATAATATCTAAGGAATAGGGAGAATCTGGGTAAAGGTAGAACATATGAATTTATACTTTGTGACCTTCTCCAGTAACCCTTGGCGGTTCGGAAGCAGAGGAAATTGCTGGAGGGAAGGCAATATCCAAGGCTGAGAATGTTTTGGGTGGATATAGAGGAAGGTTAAGGAAGCAAAAGATTTTTCATTGCTAGCAAGATTAAAATGGAAAAAACTGACCACTGGGGTCTAGGCTGGTTAGTGACATAAGCAAAGCTAGAAGGGGATAGCTAGACTGGAATAGGGAGGGTCAAAATATTGGAGGTTAAGATGAGGGGGTGGATCATTGTCAGTGTGAGTAAGGGAGGAGAAGGACTGGAGATGGTCAGCACTTGAGCCATTGGAGGTAGAGTAGTTTCAAGTGATGATAGAGTCCAAACTGACCATGATTGGTGGTAACTAAAGTAGAGATGAAGGCCACCATAGTTGAAAAATTCAAGGAACTGTGAGGCCAAGTATCCAATCCTGGACCTTTGGGAGGGAAGGGGGCTAAAATATGCTAAAAAGTAAAGGCAATTTTATAAGTTCAGGGTAGTGTTCTCCTGGGGAATGAGAGCATTGTCCAGGCTCAACTTGCTAGTCCAAGCTGGATTTTATCAGGGCAGCAAGAGAAGGGCAAGGCAGGAGGCAGAAATGGATTTTGGAGCAGATATCTAAAACTGGGAAAGTAGGTCTGGAATTAGGGAGGACACACGCTATAGGAGAATAGATGTTGGCAAACTAATTATTTGCTTGCCCATGGTAGCATTTTTTTATGGTGGTAGCATGCTAGCCAGGCCCCTTACCTGCTATATCATATTAGATGTTGCTATGGGTCATAACACCTGATTATTAATAGGGTCATTACTGTGGATGCTGAAGTCGTCAAGGATGGTATAGGTGATAGGGTGAAGAGAAAAACTCTAATGCTACTACTAAAGTCAGTGAGAGAGTGGCATCAAGGTCAATAGAAGGGTGACAAGGATAGAGAAGGGTGTGAAGAATGGCCTCCATATCAAAAAACTGAGTCATTTTGAGTATCTCTCTCTCCTTCATCAGGTCTTGCATCCTATAATCTACAGAAATCCTGGTGCATATAAATCCTGGGAATATTTATCAGTCACCAATGCTACCACATTTATTTTTTAATATACTACAACATGAAATCATAGATGCAACTAAGTACCTATTATTATAAACATTGAATTTTCTTTATTGACTAGAATGATCCAAAGCACAGCTCCTAGAACCAGAATGCTGATGTTTTCTGTAATTTCCCCTTAAAGGCAACATCAAGGTTGTATTTTTTTTTGGCACAGGTATGCCCTGTAAGCCTTTGCTCTGCCTAATATTTCTTCTGAACCACTAGAAATTATATCAACTGAACTATGGGGGTAGGAATGGAGTAGGAGGGTGCAGACCATTGTGCTTTGAGAGTATACAGACATTTCTACCCACACAGCATCTTTATTCTGTGAATATATTTAAGGAGAAGAAGCAATTTTAAACTAATGTTCATCATTCACAAAGCAATCATGTGTGGAGTTAGAGAGAAGAGTCGAGGAGGTCAAGCAGACACCACTACGGAAGTCTTGTACCCCCAGATGTCTTCTTTTTTCATTGTGTAGCAGGGTTCTCTGCTGGTATACCAGACTCTTGAAGAAATATATCCAGTGGAGCAGAGATCAGTGGAGTGGTATAGGGGGAGCAGGGGAAGGGATTTCCTTCCCCCCAAACTATCTCCTGTGCCTGAGTTGATTCACCACTTCAAGTATAGTCTTAGCGTGGTTCTGGAGGAGTCTCTAATCACTTTGTGACTTCGGGTTCAGCAGAATACCTATGTACCTATTAATATTGCCTAAGACTCCTTCCACCAGAAGGACCTGCCAAGAACCAGGAGCGTGGCAGTTTCAAAATTAAGTAATTAATAAAGCATAGCCATATCCCTACTGTTCGAAGTAACTGCCCTGCTAACATTGTTTCACCTACTTTAGCATCTTTTCAGAGAAACAATTAATGACTTTAGGTGAGGTAAGCCCACTAAAAAAAAAAACTGGTGGCGTTGGGACAAAGAAACTCACAGCTATTTCTTCCTCTGCCTTTCCCTACCTTGTCCTATGCCCTCTTTCTGGGATCAGAGCTCCCAGAGACCTTTTTATTGCTGAGTGGGAGAATCTATGCGAAGGAAAGTAAGCAGACATCCCTAATACATGCACTGTATCCCCACTATGGGCCCAGCAGTCTGTACACCCGAAGCCAGTAGTTTCCTGTGGCCATCACAACCTAAAATGAGGTATGAAGAGATCAACAGGTATGCTATTTCTCTAGGCTGAGTATTACTGACTTATAGAAGGCAGGACAAATAACCTATATGCATATGTAAAAAAACAGAAAAAAGTCCATTGCTATAGGAAACTTCAGAAGCTTACTAACACAAATGCATTTGCTTTGATTGCATCTACTCTTTAAGGAACATATATTTAATTCAATTAAATCAAGCACTGATTAAGCACCTGCTCAAAGTCAATGAGGGCACAGTGGGCAGAAAGTCAGAAAGACCTGAATTCAAATCCAGCCTCAGACACTTACTGTGTGACTCTGGCCAGGCCAATTAACCCTATTTGCTTCGGGTTTCCCATCTGTAAAATGAGTTGGAAAAGGAAACGGCAAACTACTCCAGTATCTTTGCCAAGAAAACCCCAAATGGGGTCACAGAGTTGGATGAAACTGAAACGATTCAACAACAAAATGTCAGTGACTATGCTTGTTGCTATGGATACAAAAATATTAAAAATGTCACAGCTCCTGCTCTCAGGGACATAGATAATCTAATAGGAGGAATAAAACATGCGCCCAAATAAATACCATACCAGAGATAATGTTTCACAGGCAAAAACAGAAATGGAAACAAAGTACTAGAAGAAAAATTTGAGGAGGGAGAGAGAAATGTCAGCTGTCAGAGACAGAGGGAATCCAGGAGAATGGAAGTCATGGCTAGTAGTCTGACAGTAAGGAGACATGATGTGAAGGGGAGCAATGTCAACATCAAAGGAGTTTGGAAAGGCAGGTTGGAGGCAAATTGTGTAAGGACTTAAACGCTAGGCTAAGAGGTTTGCATTTGACCATCAAGATAACAGGCAACCAGTGAAGGTTGAGCCATCAAATGATACATCAAGGCCTTAGAAAGATTATTTTGGGAACTGTGTAAAGGATGTAGTGGAGAGGAAAGGAGACTCTCAGTGTTGGAAGATACCTCAGAAAAAATAGTTGGGAGGTTGTTTTTAATAACCCAGAGTGAGAAGTAATAGGGGCCTGGAATAGGGTGGTGGAAGAGTGAGAGGAGAGGGGAGAGATGGGAGATGACAGAGTGATGGAAAAAGTAGCAAGACTTAGAAACTGTGTCAGTGTGAGAGGTGAGGGAAAGTGGAGAGCCAAAGATGACAGAATCACAACATCTTAGATTTTGAGAGGACCACAGGGACTATCTACTTCCAACTCATTCTTGAACAAGAATGCTCCTTATAACACGCCAACAAGTGATCATCCAGCCTTCACTTAAAGACTTACAGTGACAGGGAGCCCACAACACCTCCTGAGCCTTCTCATTCCACTTTTGGATAGCTCCAATTATTAAGGTTATGTCCAAAGTGCTAGGCCTGGAGTCAAGAAGACTCACCTTTCTGAGGCTCAAATACAGCCTCAGATACTTACTAGCTATGTAACACTGTTTGCCTCAGTTTCTTCACCTGTAAAACGAGCTGGAGAAGGAAATGGTGAACTGCTCCAGTATCTCTGCCAAGAAAACCCCAAACGAGGTCACAAAGAATTGGTCATAACAGAAATGACTGACAAACAACAACCAATCAGACCCAGTCTCTCTGAAACTTCCACTTAGGGCTCCTAATTTTGTCTTCTGGGAACACATTCTCCCTAGGACTTCTCATCTCCTATTGAAATTTTTCTCTTCCTTCAAGGTCCCTCCTAAGGGCCACTCCCTCAATGAAGAAGATACAAAGCTCATCTAGAGTCAAGGGTGAGGTATAGTAAGAAAACATGCTGTTTCTATTGAAAAATGTACTCTAGTGATGAGATAAGGAGGGCTAAAGCTGCAGAAGGCATTGGGGGTCTCACAATAATTAACCTTGGAACCCCTAGATAACAAATAATTATAAGGGGAATGAGCTGAATGAAAATTGAGCTGAAGGGAGACAACCAGGGCATTGTATGCATGTGAGAGGCATTGGGGTGAGTTCTGAGAGAGCAGGAAATTTCCAGGGGTAAGTTCTAGAGGACAATTTTAAGGGGAATTGTTTCAACCTGAAATAAAAAAAAATCAGGCAATAAACATTTATTAGATACCTACTTGTGCTAAGTACTGTGCTACCTGCTGCAGATACAAAAGAGGCAAAAGACAGTCCCTACTCTCAGGCAGCTTCCAATCTAATGGGGGAGAAAACAAGCAAACAAATATATATAAACTATGTACAGAAAAAAATTAGAAATAAAAGAGGAAAGGTACTAGGATTCAGAAAGATTAGGAAAGGTTTCCTGTAGAAGATGACATTTAATTGGGACTTGAAGGAAGCCAGAGAAGTCAGTAGGCTGAGTTGAAGAGGGAGAGCATTCCAGGCATGGCGGACAGCCAGCAAAAACGTCCACAGCCAAATAGGCAGCAAAACTATACTAGTGGGGGACCTCAACCTCCCCCTCTCAGAACTAGATAAATCTAACCATGAAATAAACAAGAAAAAAATTAAGAAAGTGAATAGAATTTTAGAAAATGCACAGAGCTAAGAGATGATGTGTTTTGTTGGAAGGAGGAACAATAAGAGCAATGTCACTGGATCAAAGAGTGTGTAGTAGGGAGTGAAATGTAAGAAGTCTGGAAAGAGGGGGAGCCAGGGAATAGGCTATGAAGGGATTTAGATACCAAGCAGGATTTTGTATTTCATTCTAGGGGTAACATGGAGCCACTGGAATTAACTGAGTGCATTTGAGTTGTGTGTGTAACATAAATGGATCTGCACGGTACACTTGGAGCCCAAAAGGACTCTTGTTTCTCTAGGGACCCCAAAATAGGGTTCAAGTCTGGAAAGCACCAACAGATTGGAAAAGGGGGGAAAATGAAGATGCCAGAAGAAACTGAAGTGTTAGTATGGTAGGTATAGTATAAAGAGGTCCTGATTTGGAGTTAGGAGAACAGAATAACGTGTATTTAGAGTTAGAAGGGACCCCGGGTGTCTAGTTCAAACCCCCCATTTGGAGATAAGACACCTGAAGAAATGAGCTGTCCAATGTCACATAGGTAGGAAGATACAAGGGAAATCCTAGTCCTAATTCTGGCTCTGCCACTAGCCTGGCAAGTCACCTACCTTCTAGTCTCCAGGTTCCTCATTTGTAAATTTAGAGTAGTCAAATTTGATAATCATAAAAGAGTGTATGTTCTTGTGTTCCTATGATACTTTAAACCTGAGTGAGTAGGTAGCTGAGGCTGTTGTAATTCACCTCACCTGCATATATTTTGTACCTAAATCTCATTTTCACTATAGGAAAACAGTTGCACAACTGAAGAGACAATGTGCACTGTATTGCAGGCAGAAAGCTATGGCGGGGGCAGAGCTAGAAATGAGAAGAGAGGAAAGTTTCAGCAATGCCAGTGTCTACAGGGCATGCCTTTGAAGAAAAAATCTGCAGCTGGGGCTAGGAATCAGTTTATCACTTGGAAATAGAATGAAGTTAACTTAACTGGGGACTTTAATTCTTGCTATATCTTTATCGGCACAGACTGTCAACTGGTCATCAGGACAGGTGAAACCAATAGTCAAACATCTCCAAAAGGGGCCCTGCAGAGAAGCTCAAATGGGCAAGTCACTTAACCTCCCTGCCTAAATTTCCTCAGTTGTAGAATGAGAAGATTGGACTCATTTGACTCTAAGGCCCCTTCCAGCTCAAAATGTCTGATCTTATGATCCAAATGGATCTGGCCAGGGAAGTCTGTGAGCTGGCTCTGATCACATCTGAGGCTTTCACTGAAACTAATTTGTTCAGTCAGGGCTAACATTCTCTTAAGACCTGGTCTACATGAGGTCCTAGAACAGGGGTGGGGAACCTTTGGCCTTGAGGCCACATGTAGCCTTTCAGGTCCTTGGGTGTAGCCTTTGGACTAAGTCCAAGTTTTACAGAACAGATCCTTTTATTTAGGGGATTTGTGCTGTGAAGTTTGGATTCAGTTAAAGGGCCGCACTTGAGGACTGAGAGGGCCACATGTGGCCGCAGGTTCTCCACCCCTGTCCTAGAGTCTGCTGCCTCTTCTACCCCTGGGAAAAGCCTTGTGGGACATAACAAGAAAGGAAAAGGAGAAGGATACTCCTCAGTGATTGATTGGGTACCACTGAGAGAAGAGGAGACAGACCAGCCCTGTTCTGAGTGAAGGAATAAGCTTTATACAGATGTATGGATACACTGAGATCACAGATAGACACACCTCTCCAAACATATCCAGAGGTCTCCCATGACTAATCAGAGCAGAGATAATAAGAGTACAATATCATTTTTCAGTAAGACTATAAGGTTTTTTCCTCTGGTTTAATACAAGAATGTTCATGCCCACATCCTGACACAGGCATGTGGAGACAGACACACCCACACACTGGCAAGAACTACCCTTCCCCCTAACCACTTCCCACCTCCAACACTAGAGCAGCACAACGCTTCCAGTAAGAGGGAAGATGTTGGCTAACATGGGCACAAAAAGGGGTAGGCCCAGGTGTAAAGACTGAACCTCAAAGCAAGGAGAGAAGAGACATAATTGACTCTCACATTTCCATAGCATGTGCCACCTCTCTCCTCTGCCAGGCCAAAGATCAGATCTCAAACTCTCCGGAAGCAGACCTTTTGTCTTCACATGGCTAGACCTCAATTTCTTCAAGAGCACCCTGTGCCAGGGAATGGAACTTCTCTGAATATACTTCCTTGGTCTATTTGGATGTCAAATCTATTACCTGGACTTTCTTAATTTTGTGCTCTCATCACTGAGCTTATTGGCCCAGAGGCTATTTAACATAGCAAACAAGTAGTAAACAATTTAACAGGTAAAATAAGGAGTGTTTTGAGTAAAAATGATAGCTGTTTTTCCACATTTGACCTCAAATTATTTCTGAATTCAGTTCCTTTCACTTTTTTAAAATCTTGACTCCAAATGCAACTAATGACTGGGGCAATAAGGCCAATAGTACAAGTGGTTTATTACATTCGTTTTGTTTTCCCAGATATATAATTTCATCTGGTAAGGAACTCACTCTACCAAAGCAGACCAGCGGCTTTTCTGCCCTCATCCTCTTAGTGGGTTGCCTGGAACCACATGTATGTTGTAGCGACCCAGGTATAGAAACCTTGGAGGGAGGGGCAGAAGGCCCTCATAATCTCCATCCCCAGGAGGAAGTAGTAGAAAGAACACTGGACTTTGAGACAAATAAATGGCCTGATTGGGAGGGGCAGAAGGCCCTCATAATTTCCATCCTCAGGAGGAAGTGGTAGAAAGAACACTGGACTTTGAGACAAATGGCCTGATTGAGTCCTGGCTCTGCCTCTTACCAATCATTACCTGTGTAATATCAGAAAACTTAAACTTCCTTGAACCTTGATTTTCCTATGTTATTGCTTTCCCTTTGGTATATGATACCCTGAGCTGTTTGATATGCTATATGCTAGCCTTGGCTTCTCCAGACCAGAAATCTTCCTCTAGAAATATTTCTCTCCAAGGATATCTAGCCTCAGTCACCTTGCTCCAAACTGTTCTTGCCAGCTCCTCCTCTGATTAACTCACTACTGTCCTCAGATTTTTGTTCTTGTTCTGAATTCTAGGCCTCCCTCACCCTCCCCCCTCCTACCCGACCTACCCACCGTATTGGACCCAATCTGTCTAGCTCATTATTAGTCCAATTCAGAGCCATTACAAAGCTCCCATCTACACTCCACCTACACAGTGTTGGCTTAGCTTCAGCAAAGAGGAGCACAGCCATGAAGCTCAAAGCCCCTGGAGGAGGGGGATGCAGGAAGAAGGTTTCATCCCCAGGTCAGACAGATCTCTGGGCCAGGATGTGAAGAAAGGCTGCCTGGGGCAGGTGCTCAGACCTGTGACTGGTTCCTTTCACTGAAGCAGGTGCATACTCTCTCTCTGGAGTTCTCTCTGCATTCGCCTGCTTGGGTTAACATTCCATTTTCCTGATAGTTTTTCAGCCCTCTTGCCTTGGAAGCAGGAATGAAAAAGGGAAATGTTCAGCCTGAAGGGAGAAGTTTTCTGAAAGTCACACCCAGAATTACATACACTCAAAGGCTGCAAACGCCATAATTAACTCTCCCTGTTTCTCTTTCCCTTTTCTGGTGACTAAAATAGAACAAGCCTTTCCAACACAAAAAAAAGGGGAGAGTTCACAGTGAATGTGCTCAGCGTTTGGGGAACAGAGACTGGGAACTCAGCTGAAAGCTGCATCTTCATTTTTGTTAGTGTCTCAATTAGTAGTCAGGAGATAACAGTGAAAGCTAACAGAGCTGATGGGAGGCCGCCCAGGGTAGTGGAAAGAGTGCTCTGGTCAGAACACATCAAGGGGCAGAGCAAGTCCTATTAATCCCACTAATAAGCTACATGACCTTGAACAAATCATTTTTAGCTTTTGGGACCTTGATTTCCTCATTTTCTAGATGGGACTGGACTAAAACAATCAATCAACAGGCATCTATTAAGTCTTTACTATGCGCCAGGCAGGCACAGTGCTAAATGCCGGGGATACAAAGAGAGACAAAAGATAATCCCTACCTTCAAAGAACTTATACTTTAATGGGGGAGACATGTACATAAACAGGTGGATTCAGGACTCAGGGTAGGATGGAAGGTAGGTAACCTTGGAGAATTAGATGCTCTGGATTTTACCCTAACTCTATTTCACATTGATCATTGTTTAGCACCAAAGGGAAGGAATGGGGTGAAATATCAAATTTCAGATCCCATAGACATTTTTTTAAAAAGCTGACTTCAAGTGAGCTAAAAGTGTCTAAAAAAGCTTTTTTTAAAAAGCATAATTTTTTAATGCTTATCAAGAATTTTACAAGCATTTGTTGATGGGATACTCCAAACAGCCCTGAGATAGATAATTCTATTTGCTCTATCTCCATTTTAAAGAAAAGGAAACTGAGGCTCAGAGACATTAAGTGGTCAAACCCAGGGCTGCTGGACTCTAAGTCCAATCATCTTTCCATTCTATTAACTTTCTCTCCTTCCAAGTAACCAAAGGAATATAAAAAGCCACCTGCCAGCAACAGAAAACGAAGGTAACCTTGTCTTAGTTCTCTTCTGATTGTCTTGACAGAAAGTATCAGACAGAAAGAGCAAAGAAAATTACCATATTTATTCAGTTTTTTTCCTTCCTAATTGGGCAGTCACTTCTCTTCCACCACACATATATTTACATGACTAAACCTGACAATATGAACTCTGAAGTACAGCATACGCTGCAATGTGGCGGCAACTTGGCTATTCTAAAGCTGAGAGGGGTTTCAAAAAAAAAATTGATGAATAGGTCACAGAAAACAAGAATACCCACTACAGGATATCTGGCAAAGCATCATACGATCTCTGATTGAAGACCTCTAGTGAATGGGAACCCAATACACCTGAAGCTAAATGTAAGCATTTGCATTTGTTACCATTAAATAAAATCTTATTAGATTCAGTTTATTGTTATAGCTTGTTAAGAAATTTTTGGATCCTGACTTTGTCATATAATTCATGAGCTATCAAATCTAGTTTCAGATCAACTACAAATATAATTAGCATGTTATTTCTGCCTTTATTATAGATAGAGAGATTAAAGTAGCACAGGACCAAGGATAAATTCCTGGAGTACTCTACTCTCTCTCTCTTTTTTTTGCCTTTTGCTTTTTGTTGAGGCAATTGGGGTTAAATGACATGCTCAGGGTCACACAGCTAGTAAGTGTCAAGTGTCTGAGGTCTGTTGTGCACGGCTAACTCAGCTCACCACGACAGCAAGGATCCTATACTAACTTTGAAGGGATAAGACCAGCTTAACCTTCTATCTCGAATGCACATTGATAAGGCTGGAGACAAGATGGAAGCAACTCCGTTTAATTTTAACAAAGCATTCACTTAAGTAGTAAAGTAACAGGAACTTCTTCTCAAGTTACGATGACATAGAGCTCATGCTGTGCTAAGGACAGTGCATGCACATCCTGTGCACTTATCTGACTCCAATCCCAGATAAACTGCTAATGACCGTACAATAACTAGGGGAGTTAAAGATTGTTAAAGATCCATAGAATGGAGCACTGAACCAGGCGACCTTTGCTCATAGATCAGTCACACGAGAAGGGCCTCCGCCCATCAGTGAGACCTCATGAACAGCCTGTGGCCCTCTACATCCTTACAGATCCCTAACAGAGGTCAGATTTGAACTCAGGTCTTCCTGACTCCAGGGCTGGTGCTCTATCCACTTCACCACCTAGCTGCCCCTACTCTACTCTTTAAAAGACCTTCCAAACTGATATTGAACTATTACTGACTGCTGTCTAACTATGGACTTTCAACCAGTTCTAAATTCTCCACACTATTTTCTAACCTGTCTTGTCCACAGGAATAGCATGAGGCATTGTCAAATGCTTTATGGAAATCTAAGTCAAC